TGGTTTTGGTTACAAAGTGTGTAGTGTAGAGTAAGCACTGAATTAGAGGTACAATTATTATAAATCACTGAAGTTCATTCAACCTTGTAAGAGGCTCAAGATTCGAAAAAGAAAAGAAGCAAATATGTAAGTGCTGTTTTAATTTAGAATCTGTATCTTTCCCTCACACACATGAAAAATATCTGTGCCAAATGCTCCCTTCTGCATAAAGTCATTCTTGTATTCCCACTTACCCAACTAGAAATGACTTTCTCCCTTGATCTCAACAACATTTTTAAACAGAGATTAATTCCTTGCTTCAGCATTTCTCATAATGAAGCCATGTATGGCTTTTATATTTTTGTCTAATCTCCCCAACTAAATTATAAGCTCTGTGAGGGTAACTACTACTTATAAACATATTTTTAATCCCAGGAAAATCCTAATACAAGTAGACATTAAAAAATAGACATTGAAAAAGTTGTATTTAATTGAATTGTAGATACACTTAAATTGCTTTCACTCCTATTTTCTGTAGTACTTGCATTTTGTGTCATAGTGAACTTCTTGATTAGAACATAAATTCAGGTGTGTAGATTATTACTTTATTTTCATAAATGAATTTTACTGTGCTGACCTTTGTCACTGGTATAAAATCAGTTTCACATATACGTGAAGATGCAGAGCAAGCAAATTATGGCATTCAAGACAAATCTTTGTCAGCTATCACTGTAAGATTATCTGTTCTATAAAGAATGTACTGTAATAATTGACACCCATATTACTATCTTTTTAGAACTGTTAAAGGATGGAGTTTTCCTTCTATATTTCTTTTCCATTTTACTAAGTTTAAAATGCATAGTTACAAAAATGATTATATTTTGATTAAAATTATTATGCGCTAATATTTTTAGTGAAAAGAAAAAGAAAAGGGTGCATTTGGTTTCAATCCCAGCTATTGTTTGAACTGTCATGTCACATGAACAATGACATTTCTTCTGAGGATATGAAGATACCGTTGAATCTGATGGATTGAACATTCTGAACATCATACCTGAAATGTCTGCATTTCACTATATGTGAAATAAAGCTTGGAATTCATTCACACTTACATCCTGACATGACCTTCTCAAACACTGGTGTATAATATTGATTTAAATTCTGACATAATATTTCCCTCCTTATGTTATCTATTATATGTTTAAAATGTTGGAGGAAGTTTTAAAAATGGATAGGCTGACTGGTGGGTTGGTGGTTGAGTTTTTTTGGGATACGTTAGTCAGGGAAAGGGTAAAAAAAATTGACATTTGACCAAAGCTGGATATGGCACAGCAATCATTAACTATTTATTGAGATAACTTTATAGGATATTTGCTCCTTGCTTCATTCACATTCTCTTTTGTAAAGAGCTGTCAAATTAAAGTTAATTCTTCTGTGAGATTTCAGGAAAGGCATTTTAAAAGATTTTCCTTAAGATCACACCTTAGTTGATAATTGTGAGTATGACCAACTTTTAAGTTGTGTGAAAAAATTAAAGTGATGATGAAAAGGAATCAATACTTGTTTTCAAAGTGTCTTGCTATCTTAATAAACATTTGAAATATTCCAAACCAAATTAAACACCATAATAGAAAAATCAGCAAAAACAAATAAACAAACAAAAAAACAAAACAAAACATAAAAAACAAGCTTAGGTTTCAGTAGCTTTCCATTTGATATCTAGTCTCCAGTTGAATGGGTCTTCCCAGATGGTTCAGTGGTAAAGAATCCACCTGCCAACATAGGAGATATAAGAGATAGGGGTTCGATCCCTGGGTTGGGAAGATTCCCTGGAGAGGGAATGGCCACCCATTCCAGTATTCTTGCCTAGAGAATCCCATGAACAGAGGAGCCTGGTGGGCTTTAGCCCCTGGGGCCACAGAGTCAGATACAACTGAGCAACTGAGCGCGCGCACACACACACACACACACACACACACTACAGTTGAATGGATTAGGTTGACTTGAATGCTAACAATAGAGGAAGGGTATCCTAGCTTTCCTGATCTGGTCATTCATTCTTTCAATCAGTTATTCAAAACACTATCTTTGAATGCTGAAATGAAATCCAAAGAAAAATGTAAAATTCTTCTCCTAAACTTCACAGTCCCAAGTGGTGCTTGAAAATAGAGGACCAAGGAGAAGCCTACACTTATGATAAAATATATTAAGAGAGCCTTGTGCTAGGGAAAGCAGACAAAGCCCCCAGCTCTGCAGGAGGTAGGAGAAAGATATTTTCACAGAAAATATGTCTTTTAACAGTGAGAGACTTTATTTTGGGGGGCTCCAAAATCACTGCAGTTGGTGACTGCAGCCATGAAACTAAAAGATACTTGCTTCTTGGAAGAAAAGCTATGACCAATCTAGACATGCATATTAAAAAGCAGAGACATTACTTTGTCAGCAAAGGTCCATCTAGTCAAAGCTATGGTTTTCCAGTAGTCATGTATGGATGTGAGAGCTGAACCATAAAGAAAGCTGAGCACCGAAGAATTGATACTTTTGAACTGTGGTGTTGAAGACTCTTAAGAGTCCCTTGGACTGCAAGGGGATCCAACCAGTCCATCCTAAAGGAGATCAGTCCTGAGTGTTCATTGGAAGGACTGATGTTGAAGCTGAAACTCCAATACTTTTGCCACCTGATGCAAAGAACCGACTCATTGGAAAAGATTCTGATGCTGAAAAAGATTGAAGGCAGGAGGAGAAGGAGATGATAGAGGTTGAGATGGTTGGATGGCATCACTGATGCGATGGACATGAGTTAGAGTAGGCTCTGGTAGTTGGTGATGGACAGGGAAGCCTGGCGTGTTGCAGTCCGTGGGGTCGCAAAGAGTCAGTCACAACTGAGTGACTGAACTGAATTTAAAAGTAGTAAGAATTTTCCAGGAGAATCCATGGGGCAGGCACTGAAGGCCAAGAGAACAACATTTGCACCGGTGTGCACTGGTACATTTGAAAACTGTCTTCACCCTTGAATTGCTTAGGACCCACTTGATCATTTCAGTGGATGCTGTGAGTAAAGGAGACAGAGGAAACCAGATCCTGGCTTGTGCAGTTATTTACATTTGTTGAACATTACCATACTGGATGCTAAACTAAATCTTGTTAGGTCCTTTCTCTACCCAGTGGGGACCATCTAATTAAGAAGACAAGCAAGGCAGGGATAAAAAGAGCATCAAGTCAGTCAGCAGCTGTCTTTAAAGGGCCGGTAGCTATCCATATAGAGATTTATAGATTAACTGCAGCTCTTTGAATTCACTGGAAAGAAAATTGGCAGCAGCTGCAGACTACACAGTGTGGATTTATTTTGCTTTAGGCAGCTGAACTCAGAGGTAGGTAGTCTGCCCGTTCTGGTCTCTCCGATATTTAATCGTGTCCAAGGGTAGCCCTAGTTAGGACACTCATTTGTAATCCAGCTGTTTTCTAGGCTGCCATCAGTATGCATAAATTTATTAAAATCTCTGAAATATTCTGATTCTAAATAATAAAAGTGGAATTTTATATAATTGGGGGAAATTCAGCCAGGAATTTGTAGAATAAGGTATCTATTACTATAATTCTAAAACCTTAGTGACTGAAATCTCTCTGTTCTCTGAAAAGTTATTGGGAATAATCTTTATAAAGTTATTATAGAGCTATAGTTAAAGGTACCCAACTTTGTGCTTGTTTAACACAGGACATAGAATCGTGAAATGTTAACCTTTTTTAAAAAAAATAAAGTGCATCTGATTTTAGTAGTTAAATGGTAGTCTAATCTCAACTGCATATGTCAAAGGCAAGTTTTTTTTCAAAATTAGATATATTACTGTTACGTTGTCCAGAATAGTATGTATGTTGTTTGAAATACTAAGAGGTCTAAAGTGAAAAAGCAATATTTCTTTTTGCTTTGATTATTCATATCATGGTGGATTAATGGCTTAATTAATGTTATTATATTAAAATATATATTTAATTTTAGACCTGAATAATATTTATGCAAGAGCCTGGGTGATCAGTGTGAGTATGAGGCTGTAGGGATTTCAGATCGGTGAACTAACTCGTATGCATTTCCTTATCTGTATTTCATTTTCTACTCATCTTGATTCTAGTGTTAGATCTGTTTTCTTTCTCATATTTACTGTAGTTATTCCTCACATTTACATTCTTGCTGAACACTGAGCTCGAATTCTGCAGTTGCCTGATGTGACTGTGAATTTGGGCAGGCCCCTGAAGCACTCTGAACCACCTACTCGTCTTTAAACTAGCGATAATGACATTGGTTCTGGCTCTCTCATAGCAGAGCTAGGGGTATTAAGTGATTCGGTGCTTTTGAAAGTGTCAGGTTACACACAGTTAAAGAAGTTTATCATATTGACTGTATATCTCAAAAAGTTTGTGTTTCCACATATTATAAAGGCAAGTTTGTCTTATTTAAGAAAAGTATGACCTCCTTTGCAGAAAGAGGCAACTTACAAAGAAATGCCAATACTCCCCCAACAGTTTGCATGTGTATCTTTATGCTTGCAAGTGTGGATGTGAGTGTTAACTGCGTCTAATTCCCAGGGCTTCAATTCCATTATCCTGCAGGTCAGGATTCGTGGAGCAATACAGTCACACCTCCTTTCCTATCATTCTTCCCTTGCTACAGGAAAAAGTCAGGGGCCGATTTATATCATGAGATAATTCCCCAAATATTAACCACTGAGACTACAAACAGCTGGCTGTGGGATCTACTTCTGAGAATTAATCCCGATGCTTCCCTCTCTGCTCCTCTATTCCTTCCTACTATTCATTTGCCTTTTGTCCAAATCTTTATGGGTTCAAAGTTTGTGGATGTATGCACTATGTATGTACCTCAAAATACAAACTCTTCTTTAATAGATACTTTGTGCATGTTTTTGTTGGAAAGAAATACCATACAATAACAAAGATAAAGGTTCAATTTAAAACGCAGTGTCTTTGAAAATCTATCTTTGAGTAACAAAACTGTATCCTCCTTTCAGAACATGATGAATGTGTCACAAATCAACACAACTGTGATGAAAACGCTTTATGCTTCAATACTGTTGGAGGACACAACTGCGTCTGCAAGCCAGGCTATACCGGGAATGGAACTACATGCAAAGGTAAAAGATTTTAGTGCTAATACCTCTTCCATTAGGGATGATGCAATCCATCTCTCCTTCCCTCCACCCTTTTTCATCACTGTTACCTGCCTTCTGGGTATTTCCCACAGCCATTGAGAACTTCAAAGTGTAGCTCATGTCCTTCCTCTTGGATTACATCAGTGTTTAAGTGGCCAGCTGTTCATCAACTCTGATTTAATGTTCCATCACCTCAACCGCAGTGGTTTTTCACCTCTGTTCCTCTCAAGCAGACCGTAGCCATAACCATACCCTAGGCACTTTTGTACAGAACTGCTCCATCTTTGAAATCTAGACTTTAACTTTTTATTGTCTAACCCAAAGTCCCTTTGCTTCCAGTTTTTCCCCTCTGTTCTTTTCACAGTTTTTCATCTTTAACCTCTCTGACCTTTCCTTTTCATCCAGTTTTCTAGTCTCCTCCCAGGTTCATATATTTCTTTTTGAGTCCAAACATTACAGCTGTATTTTTTCAGCAGTACTATCAACCCATTTGTTTTACTACCATGATTCACTGTAAAATATCTATTTGGGATCAGTCTGACTGTTTCTTCTCTATTTTCTCTCTTGAGCTGTTAGGTACTAATTAACTGGGAATATTGGGTTCGTATGTATTACCATCTCTGATTTTACCTGGTTTGTCAATACCAATCAATAATTTTCAGATTTTCATTTCCATCAGTGGATATTCCAACTAATCTACCACCATCCATTAATTCTCTCTTGCATACATGCTCTCTTTTTCCTTCATCAGATGAGCTTACCTCCTAGTTCACAAGGAAAATAGAGGAAACTATTTTGGAAATTCATACTGACTTCCATAGGATAAAGTCCATATTTCTTATTATGTCATATAAAACTTACGATTTGTCTAATTTAGGCATTTAAGCTTCAAAACTGCCCATTCCTCAAATACACTGTCACGGAGATTACTAAAATTAATTTTATTTGATGCCATGTATATGGGAGACAGGAAATAACAATAAATGATTATTAGTGCAGTGGCCTTGGAGCATGAGTCTAAGGCCTGTTCTAGAACAATACACTGGATGCAGACATGGATGAGCCAGAGGATTACTCTGTTTGTAAAAGTTATGGAAATCCATAATTTAGAGCATTGTAAAGACCTACTCATTTAGGGGTCCGAATCCCACAAAGATTTCCTCAGAATCTAGACTGATCCAGAGATAAGCTAAATCCATAGCATAGTGTACCTGAACCCTTAGGACTTCCCCAAAGCATCTGGGTGTGCTGAGAGTTAAGATTTCATCTGGGAGCCCAACATTCTCAGTCTTAGTTGTATTTGACTCTCACTTCTTATTCATATGAAGAGTAAACTTTATAGTGTAAAGAATTCTTGAAGCCTTGAGTAGATGCAGATAGAAGATTCTTTGAAATGAGAACTTTCCAAGATCTATAAACTTCTTCTGGAAATTAGGACTGCAGGTTGCCTGAGTAAAACCTCTCCAGTCCTGCATGCCTCTCTGATGGGAAAGTCAAAAGCTGGGAAGAGATGTAGTTTAGATGTAGGATCTGCATCCTGTCCTCCATCAATGTGCTGAAATCTTGCAAATTACTCCAATGAGGATATATACATGATGTACCCTTTCTTTTTATGAGACTTAAATTCCTAATCTCTTTGCAAATTCCTGGTGACTAGGTATTGTTTTTGCCTAGGATGAAGACAGATTAGGACCTAGAATCAAAGAAGCCAAGTGGGCCTCTTTGAGCCCCTTCTTTTAACTCAACCACAAAATCTCAGATTTCTACAGTTTACCTCTCTGAGAAAGTACATCCTAACTAACTAGAGGAGGCATGTTCCAGAAAACTAGAGAAAAAGCTTTTGCCTCAGGCCTGGAAAATGCTGATGTGGTTCATCCATGACAGACCTGGCCAGGCTGAGGGAGTAGCCCTGAGCCTTACAGAAACAAAGTATAAATTAAGGTGGAAACAGAAGTTCCTAAGGGTACACAGTCTTACCTACCTTGTTTTTCTCACTTTTTTCTCTTTTTTTTTTGGAAGCCAAACCATCTCAAAACATCACCCTTGCAATGGGTTGAAGCTTGGCTCCCTTTTCTACTCACAGGAAAAGCTACCCTCACTCACAAACCCACTGTAACACAACAGCCCATGAAGTTTCTTTGCCCTGGATCCTGACCTATCCTTGGCGGGGGAATGCAAGACTCTTCCTAAAGACCCCTTTGGCAAATTCTCATTATTGGCTAATTCATCCCTTTAGGATGGATTTATAGCTTTTTGAAAAATGGGGCATTTTTCTAGTATTTTGACATTTTGGCCAGTGTATAGAATGATCAGAGCCTCATTGGATTCAATCATTCCTAGTTTCTGAGTCTCATTCTCTAGATGGTGGTTTGCTCTTTAGGTAACTGTCTAGGATAGTTGCCATTTTTTATAGTTTTAATTTCAAGATTTTTAGATTGTTATAATGAGATGCAATACTAATTCTAATGCACTTCCTGCTGTGTAAGGTTACTGGTTTTTGTTAAAAGAAAGTTCAGTATTTTCTTTTATAGGTGAAACACTTAACTTCAGAAAGAATATTATTCTGCAAATTGTGTTGAAGTTTCTTACCTATATGGAAAGTGTATTATGAATATGAAATTATAATAGGATGTATAGTTTGATGTCAACATTTTCAAGGCAATAAAGAAAAGTTAATTTGAAGAATCTTGAACTACTTCCTTATAAAGTGCTAAAATCATGTATCTGAATTATTTTAGCATTTTGCCAAGATGGTTGTAGAAACGGAGGAGCTTGTATTGCCGCCGACGTGTGTGCCTGCCCACAAGGCTTCACCGGGCACAGCTGTGAAACAGGTAAGGATATCATACCGCCTTCTAGAAAATGAGCTTTTACACCAATGTGTGAAGTAATCCATGAGGAAAATAGTGTTTCAAGTAGGCTCTCAAAAGAATGGTTCTATTAATACGGAAGCTTAGGACACAGGAGGTGGAAAGTTTCAGTGAGAGATACTCACTGAGTATTTGCCCAAAGTCTAAAGAGGTTTTGCAACTATTATAACTAGAAGCATATTGAACCTTCTCAGAAAAAAAATGTTTGGGATTGCCTAGGATTTTATGACTTCATAATTCATTTTACTCATTTGGAGCCCCGTGTTCCTGGAAATTGTATGATAATATCAAAACATGGAGTTCAAGCTTCTGGACAGCTCACTTCCTGGAATATACTACTTCCTGCATCCACATTTGAGATGTTTTAATAAATTTTTACCTGGTCCACTTAATGTTTTTTCATTGTTGTATATCTACAAACTATTTAAATTCTCTACTCCTTAATTTTTCCTCATCCAAGTCCACTCTGAACTTACTGTTTCTGATAGAGATTAATACTAGGCGCTTTTAAAAATATTTAAATATATATATCTATACTCAGTATATAGCTTATGACTCAAAGTAAGATGGTTTTGCCCATTTAAATGCACCCTAAGAATTTAAAAAGTACATTGATTATTAGGTCCTAATTAAAATCATGTCAGTAGTAATTTTGGTTGCTCTGGGTTGTGTGCCTACTGTCGCTTTAATCATGCCTGACTCTGCCACCCTCTGGACTGTAGCTCACCAAGCTCCTCTGTCCATGGGATTCTCCAGGCAAGAATACTAGAGTGGGTTGCTATGTCCTCCACCAGGGGATTTTCCCAACCCAGGGATCAAACCCACGTCTCTTACGTCTCCTGCATTGGCAGGTAGATTCTTTACCACTAGGGCCACTTGGGAAGCCCTGTTTTGGGTTAAATGGGTTCTAATAGCAGGTCCTCCCAAAGTCTGATTATTCTCCCTAAGAGAAAGCTGCTGCCACCAGTGATTGGTAGTCACTGCCTCCTGTTGCTTTTCATAAATCTCTGTGCAGTAGACACAATGAATGTCCCATCTCCATCCCCCTTGGAGTCATCTGGTTTAATAAACACATCGATCAAAATGTAAGACAGAAAATGCTCTGGTCCACTTGGACAGTGAAAATTTTGCTGAAAAAGTACTGCCACTATATACAGAAGGATGCTAATGAAAGGACTGCATCACTACATCCTTTGTTTCTGCAAATACCTCTAAGTGGTTCTTTTCAAACTTCAATGACTAATGGGTTACAAACGTCTCTAACAGAAAATGCCTAGTGACTATCTTGATATATGGGGCTCTTTCTTAAGGAGATCATTTCCTAAATCAGGAGTTGCAAAACTCATCGTGCATGTGAATCATTCGTAGAGCTCATTAACTACAGATTTCTGATAATTAACTATCTTGGAATTACTAGATCAAAATCAAATACTTCCAGTGCAATGATTCTACAATGCTTCTATCCCATGATCTCTACTAGTATATCAAGTATATCCCACACACATATATCAAGGTACATTGTAATTCTCCTGTACATCAACTCCTGTGGTGACTGTGTCCCCTGAATACTACAGTATTTTATGCTGTTTCTGGTGCTGTTTCTGTTTCTGGTGCAGAGTTACTGAAATAGTGGCTTCTTCAGGGCATTTCAATGGTGTGGATTTTTGAAATAAAGACTGTCCCAGAATATCTGGGATGAATAATGACCGTGCTCAATCCTGTATATCATTACTCAACTAAAAAAAATTATTTGGAGAGATTGTGAAAGTGTGAAAGGGCATAAGATTAATATGAGCAATGTAAAATTTAAAACTGGGGTTAAAAATAACCCAACAGAATATTTAGCTTTCTCTATATAATTATCCTTGAACTTTCAGTCTATAAGAGGAGAGTCTCACACTTGCTCTAAGTTCAGTTCCGTTCAGTCGCTAAGTCATGTCCGACACTTTGTGACCCCATGAACCGCACTGTGACTGGCCTCCCTGTCCATCACCAACTCCCGGAGTCCACCCAAACCCATGTCCATTGAGTCAGTGATGCCATCCAAACATCTCATCCTCTGTTATCCCCTTCTCCTCCTGCCTTCAATCTTTCCCAACATCAGGGTCTTTTCAGTTGAGTCAGCCCTTCGCATCAGGTGGCCAACATATTGGAGTTTCAGATTCAACATCAGTCCTTCCAATGAACACCCAGGACTGATCTCCTTTAAGATGGACTGGTTGGATCTCCTTGCAGTCCAAGGGACTCTCAAGAGTCTTCTCCAACACCACAGTTCAAAAGCATCAATTCTTTGGCACTCAGCTTTCTTTATACTCCAACTCTCACGTCCACACATGACTACTGGAAAAACCATAGCCTTGACTAGATGGACCTTTGTTGACAAAGTAATGTCTCTGCTTTTCAATATGCTGTTTAGGTTGGTCATAACTTTCCTTCCAAGGAGTAAGTGTCTTTTAATTTCATGGCTGCAATCACCATCTGAGGTAATTTTGGAGCCCAAAAAATAAAGTCAGCCATTGTTTCCCCATCTATTTGCCATGAAGTGATGGGACCAGATGCCATGATCTTAGTTTTCTGAGTGTTGAGTTTTAAGCCAAGTTTTTCACTCTCCTCTTTCACTTTCATCAAGAGGCTCTTCAGTTCTTCTTCACTTTCTGCCATAAGGGCAGTGTTATATGCATATCTGAGGTTATTGATATTTCTCCTGGCAATCTTGATTCCAGCTTGTGCTTCCTCCAGCCCAGTGTTTCTCATGATGAGAAGTTAAATAAGCAGGGTGACAATATACAGCCTTGACGTACTCCTTTTCCTATTTGACCAGTCTGTTGTTCCATGTTCAGTTCTAACTGTTGCTTCCTGACCTGCATACAGGTTTCTCAAGAGGCAGGTCAGGGGGTCTGGTATTCCCATCTCTTTCAGAATTTTCCACAGTTTAATGTGATCCACACAGTCAAAGGCTTTGGCGTAGTCAATAAAGCAGAAATAGATGTTTTTCTAGAACTCTCTTGCTTTTTCGATGATCCACCAAATGTTGGCAATTTGATCTCTGGTTCCTCTGCCTTTTCTAAAACCAGCTTTAACATCTGGAAGTTCACGGTTCACGTATTGCTGAAGCCTGACTTGGAGAATTTTGAGCGTTACTGTGCTAGCGTGTGAGACAGGTCATGGTGGAGAGGTCTGACAGAATGTGGTCCACTGGAGAAGGGAGTGGCAAACCACTTCAATATTCTTGCCTGGAAAACCCCATGAATAGTACAAAAAGGCAAAAAGACACTGAAAGATGAACTCCCCAGGTCAGTAGGTGCCCAATGTGCTACTGGAAATCAGTGGAGAAATAACTCCAGAAAGAATGAAGGGATGGAGCCAAAGTGAAAACAACACCCAGTTGTGGATGTGACTGGTGATAGAAACAAGGTCCGATGCTGTAAAGAGCAATATTGCATAGGAACCTGGAATGTTAGGTCTATGAAACAGGCAAATTGGAAGTGGTCAAACAGGAGATGGCCAGAGCGAACATCGACATTCGAGGAATCAGGGAACTAAGATGGACTGGAATGGGTGAATTTAACTCAGATAAGTTATCTGAGTTCATCTACTTCTGTGTGCAAGAATCCCTTATAAGAAATGGAGTAGCCATCATAGTCAACAAAACAGTCCGAAATGCAGTACTTGGATGCAATCTCAAAAACAACGGAATGATCTCTGTTCATTTCCAAGGCAAACCATTCAATATCACAGTAATCCAAGTCTATGCCCCGACCAGTAATGCTGAAGAAGCTGAAGCTGAACGGTTCTATGAAGACCTACAAGACCTTTCAGAACTAGCACCCAAAAAAGATGTTGTTTTCATTACAGAGGACTGGAATGCAAATGCAGGAAGTCAAGAAATACCTGCAATAACAGGCAAATTTGGCCTTGGAGTACAGACTGAAGCAGGGCAAAGTCTAATAGAATTTTGCCAAGAGAACGCACTGGTCATAGCAAGCACCCTCTTCCAACAACACAAGAGAAGATTCTACACATGGACATCACCAGATGGTCAACACCGAAATCAGATTGATTATATTCTTTGCAGCCAAAGATGGAGAAGCTCTCTACAGTCAGCAAAAACAAGACTGGGAGCTGACTGTGGCTCAGGTCATGAACTCCTTATTGCCAAATTCAGACTTAAATTGAAGAAAGTGGGGAAAACCACTAGACCATTCAGGTATGACCTAAATCTAATCCCTTATGACTATACAGTGGAAGTGAGAAATAGATTTAAGGGACTAGATCTGATAGACAAAGTGCCTGATGAACTATGTATGAGGTTTGTGACATTGTACAGGAGACAGGGATCAAGACCATCTCCAAGAAAAAGAAATGCAAAAAAGAAAAACGGCTGTCTGAGGAGGCCTTACAAATAGCTGTGAAAAGAAGAGATGCGAAAAGCAAAGGAGAAAAGGAAAGATATACCAGTTTGAATGTAGAGTTCCAAAGAATAGCAAGGAGAGATAAGAAAGCCTTCCTCTGTGATCAATGCAAAGAAATAGAGGAAAACAATAGAATAGGAAAGACTAGAGATTTCTTCAAGAAAATTAGAGATACCAAGGGAAAATTTCCTGCAAAGATGGGCCCAATAAAGGACAGAAATAGTATGAACCTACCAGAAGCAGAAGATATTAAGAAGAGGTGGCAAGAATACACAGAAGAACTATACAAAATAGCTCTTCACTACCCAGATAATCACAATGGTGTGATCACTCACCTAGAGCCAGACATCCTGTAATGTGAAGTCAAGTGGACCGTAGGAAGCATCACTATGAACAAAGCTAGTGGAGATGATGGAATTCCAGTTGAGCTATTTCAAACCCTAAAATATGATGCTGTGAAAGTGTTGCACTCAATATGTCAGCAAATTTGGAAAACTCAGCAGTGGCCACAGGACTGGAAAAGGTCAGTTTTCATTCCAATCCCAAAGAAAG